ATAGTGCAAAAAACTTGACTGTAAGTCATACTCCCAATGAAGGAGATAACTCTTTCAAAATGGGAGAGACATCATGTAAACTATTTTATGTTGTTAATTTGCACACCACTGCTCTCAGTCAAGATTAGTGCCTTTATAGATGACAAAAGTACTTCCATCTCAGACTGGAAAGGAAAGCTGAAACAAAAAGCAACTCTCTGTTACAGCATAAGACAAAAACAAACAAAAAAGATTTAAAGAAGTTTGTCCTCAAACTCAGCTTAAGCCAAGTCATAAATACAAAGTCAGAATTCGCTGGAGTTCACATACAACAATGCTTGTTTGCTTAAAGATCTATAGACTTATTTATTCATTACATGGACGGTTTTCAGAGAAATTTGGTCTAAAAGTGATGGCAACTTTGTCATAGAAATAGGACACTGCAAGCAACAGGGCAGAGTATTTGGAGACAGAAATGGAAAGCCAAGGCACCACATATTCTGTCATGAGAGACACCCAGAACCCCAAGTTTCAATTGTTAGTTTTAAAAAGATTAAGTTAGGAAGTATTTAATCCTAAGTAACATGATGGAGTGACTAGCAAGATTTCATCCAGCCTAGAGGAAGTATGTTATAAATCCCCACAGAGTAACAAAATGTGGAAAATTTCCAATTCTGCTCATTTGTTTTGAAAAACAATGTGCCAGTCAGCTCCTTTCCCAGTAAATGTGGATGAATTGACACAGTTCCCACTTGCTCCCTTATCTTCAGCTCCTTTCTTGCACTTTTCAACATTAAGAAAGTGAGAATCTGCCAAACCAGGAGCTTCTAGAATTTCCAGTCTCTCAAGCCTCGATTTCTTCAGTGCTATTCCACACCAGGTCAGACAGTGAGTGGTCACAACATCCATAATATCAGCTGAATTCCTCAGTGTTCCTGCTCATGGAGAAGAGCTGAATTTGATTCCCACATGAACTCTGCAGTGCTACCCTCAGTTATCAGACAATTACAGCAGTCACACTGGTGCTACTGCCAGCATTTTTTTGCTGCTGTAATCTTGATTTTGTGTGTTGAGGGGGGAAGCAACAGAAGAAAGTGAACCATTGCAAGTTTGAGAATTCAGGTTGTTTTTTTTTTTTATCTGGTAGAGGCACCAAACTACGCAGATACAAAACACTGATGGACCAGAGTAGCAGACTTGGTAAATGGCTATAACAAGGTAACTGGGAATCTGTCAATTATTTACTCTCCCCCAGCATCAAAGCCTTTTACATGCATCATAAGTGATGTTTAAATGCTTGATAAGGTCTTGCTCAGGGCTTTTCTCTGTGGAGGTTTTTGACTTGATTAAATATTTTACACTGTTACTGCATATTGTTAATAGTATACATTCCTAATCTTGCCATGACTAACATCAGTCCTTACCAATAGTCATGTTTTCATGAAAATAAACTGAGAACCATCAGAATGTTCCAAGAATCAGACAATGAATAAGCAGTAATAAACACATGATGCAGTAAGACAATGCAACCTTGCACTTTAGTAGGCTGAGAAAAATAATGTTCATTCAGCTCCAGAACACCAAACAAAACCCAATATTTTAGAAATCTTCAAATATATATTACGTAAATCTAAATAAAATTTTTACCATTGTATTCACTGCACCAACCAACTAATGTCTGAGTCAGAGATAGTAAAGAATTGAGAGGTCAGGCCCATCTTGCATTCATGATAGCAGCCATGCATCACACTGCTACTGAGCTTCTCAATTCAAAAAACCTGACTGAAACACCACTGACTGCAAACATGATGCTCTTTTTGAACAGACAAGATTTTGGGTTGCAAAGTAGAGAAATTAGCAAAAGTGAAAGTGATAGTTTTGGGGTTTAAACACATTCATGGAAGTACAAAGCACACCAAAAGTTGGCTTAAATATTTTTACCTCCATGTAATTCAGCACAAGACCCACAATTTACACGAAGTAATAACCTGCCTCTTTATACCACTGCTATAGACTAATACATAGTACTTAAATATAAAAGCATATCACAAAACCTGTGACAGCCTATATTACTCTCTGCCTGCAGAAGAGTTAAATTTCAATATATCCTTAAACCAAACAACTTCTCTTTCAGTAATTAACACTTCAGTGTCAAGACAAGTCAGCCCAAGTTTTTACTGCCCCTGATTAGCACTCCCTTGAGCTGTCACACATTACAAGGCAAGACACTAATTTAAAATTTTAATTTCAAATTTTTCTTACTGGTTGAAAATATTTATCAAGCATACATCCAAACATAGAGTGGTGACTATACAAGCAGTCAGTGCAAGTACTCTAGTGGTTCTAGAAGTCTTCATTTCCAAGTAAATTGCATTAAACTAACCCTACAGTGTGAAACAATTCTCTGCATCTCAGTGACACATTGGATAACTTGGCCTACCACTGACAGATAAAGGGAGAAACTTGGAGACTGTGTCTGCTCCTGCAGATGAGCATTTGGAATTGTGAATATTTATTTAACCTTAAATCCCAATGTAATTTTACAGTGTCTTAAAAAAGGAATCTGTTTTATCTCATAATTAGAACTCCTAAGCATCATAGGATATTAAATAAAAAGATTAATTCAATTCCCGAAGAAGGAATCTAACATCTGACTAATTTAATGAAAAACTACAGGAAGGGAATGATAAAAAATGTTAGCAGGTATGACTGGATGTATGCCAAAGAAATTTGAGATTAGTGTACACAATATAGACTAGAATTGGGGGTGGGGTGGGGGAATGGAGCAGGACAGACATGACTGAAGGAAATCAAAGATTAGCAAACAAGTAAATTCTGCTATTTTGCACTACTTTCCCTAAGAATAATTACACATTTGTACCAAATCACACCATCCACTCATGATACTCTAATACTTCATAGCATAAATTGTACTGTTGCACTATTGTAGTTAACTTTCCAAGGACTGCCATGAAGCATTCCAAAGAAATCCATGAAAAAAATGAAATTACATTCATCAAATCACAGAAACATTCAGTTTGGAAAACAATCATTGAGTCCAACCTCTAACATTAGCACTGCCAAGCTACTACTAACCCATGAGCCTCAGTGCCACATCTACATGACTTTTAAGTATCTCCACCAATGGTGATTCCACCACTGCCCTGGACAGCCCGTTCCAGTGCTTGACAACTCTTTTAGTGAAGAAATTTTCCCCTATATCCAATCTGAACCTCCCCTGGTGCAATTTGAGGCCATTTCCTCTTGTCCTGTCCCTTGTTACCTGGGAGAAGAGACCAATCCCCACCCAGCTACAATCTCTTTTCAAGGAGTTGTAGAGCCATAAGGTCCCCTCTGAGCCTCCTTTTCTCCAGGCTAAACAACCCCAATTCCCCCAGCTGCTCCCTATCAGATTTGTGCTCCAGCCCCTTCTCCAGCTCCCTTGCCTTCTCTGAACATTCCCCAACACCTCAATGTGTGTCTTGTAGTGAGGGGCCCAAAACTGATCCCAGGATTTGAGGTGTGGCCTCACCAGGAATACAGGGGGTACAGGCCAGGATGCCCTTGGCCTTCTTGGCCCCCTGGGCACACGTTGGCTCATGTTCATCCAGCTGTCAAACAGCACCCCCAGGGCCCTTTCTGCTGGGCAGCTTTCAAGCCACTCTGCCTGGAGCACTGAGTGGGGCTCTTGTGACCTGAGTGCAGGAATCAGCACTTGGCCTTGTTGAACCTCTTAGAATTGGCCTCAGCCCATGGATTCAGCCTGTCCAGATCCCTCTGCAAACCCTTCTTAGACCCCAGAAGATCAACACTCCCACCCAACTTGGTGTCATCTGCAAACTGATTGAGGGTGCCCTTGATCCCCTCACTCAGATCAGTGACAAAAATATTAAACAGAACTGGTCCCAGCTCAATACCACAAGCAGGATAAAAAACCCAGTAAAAGATATCAAAAGAACAGTTTGTGTCAATTCCCCATCCCTCATTATATCTGAGAGTCAGGAGGGAAGCCCACAAATCTTCCTCATCCTGCCCCTTCATGCAAAGATTTTGTTGAGGATGTTCCATAAATAGTAGTAGAACAGTGGGAGATGTTTAAAAGAAAGTATTTTCCAGTACTATGATGCTGTTAATTTAATCCTATATAAAAACAGGAGCAAAAAAAAATAAAAAAGATTTTATATTATTTCCTGACAAGCATCCAGCAGGAAATACTCATTTGCTAGTATTTCTTTAATTATTTAGCTTTTCAAGAGTATTTCTCAGACTACAAAACCAATGTAAGTTAGCTTTTCCCATATGGGTGTTATGCTTCCTGTCATGAGTTTATTTGGTTGTTTTCTACATGGTAAATAATTAATGTAAAAAACATCAAGTGAACAACAGCAAGTAAAAATCAGCAGGCTCTCAATAAAAGGCTCTCATTAACCTGGCTGAAACAGTCTCAAAGCTTTCTCAACACCCTGTTTACTTCATGAGAACACCAAATTAGGTGCTGAAAATCACGTGGTCAGTGGTAATTGTCACAAAGATATTGTCATAAAGTGTAAGCATTTGTCCACATCTGTCACTGAACAGTGTAATTGGTTTTACCTCCAGTAGATAGCAAGTTTTTTTTATATATGAACTATTGTTCATATATAGCTTTTTAATGTCTCCCAGGGCACGAATCTCAGGAGCCTGGACAGCACTGAAGGGTGCTGGTACCAGCATTGCACAGCAACAGCATGGGGAGATTAAGGCATTTGCCATATGTGGAAGATTCCACAAGTACAACTGGTGCACTGCTGAAGTGAACAGGAGTTTTTCCACTGCCCATCCCCCATGACACCCTGTACCACCTCATCTGCTAAAAACTCAAAACCACAATGAAAAAATACTTCCCTTTTTCCTTCTCTGTTGTTAGATACTGCAGAATTAATGCATCAGTTATAACAAGTGATTACTTTACTTAGTTTTCAAACTACATTTCCCAATATTGCTCTCTACTAACCTCTTAGAAAGTTAGAAGTAAAGCTTACCAAACTTTTTCTTGTTCCATTCCTCCTCTGGTACATTGGTTTATTACAGCAGGGCTACTCATGGTAAGTGCTGAGCTTTCAGAATTCATTTTTCTTCTACAAAAGAACAACATCAAAAAAAACAAGAAAAATGCTATATAAGTGAAGATTGTGGTTACTAATGAACTAGAAAACCAAAACTTTAAGACAATAACTTTTAAGCCCAAACACAGTATGTTTTACTCACTGAAGTAAATGCCCTACATCAATGGGATTAATTGGATGAATACACTGAGAAGGATTTTGGCAGTTTTATGGACTTGCTAGTTATGCCAAACTCAACACTGATTGTCTTTTGTTTACTTTTTTGAATAAATGCCAAGAGAGTTGATGTCAGCAAGCCTGAATCCAGGGCTGTGCATCGTGTCAGTTCTGTTAATTCAGACCAGCAGTCACAGCCAGCATTGCCATGGAAAGATCCACATAACATGGGGGAGAAAATTTCACTTTCTGATATGTAAAGATTTACAGAAGCTTTTCAGCATATTTTAATAACTTAAGATCATACTTTGCTGATTTGCAGAAAACAACAATTCATTCATGGTTGAAGTCACTCTCGCAACAGCACAGAGATATTCCAGTGCTGGCCATAGCAATTCCCAAGTTACAACACTTCCAAAAGGTCTATATGGTCAAAGATGTTTCCAGTAAATGACTTGCATGGCAAGAACAAATGAAGACTCTACATACAGCAAATCAATTCCACCATGAAACACTATTATTTTTTTGTAACAGGATCCACAATGTTAACATGAAACTTCTTAGCCCTACAGCTTTATTTTTCCCTTTTCATTTAAAAGAGAGGGAAGGGGGGAAATATTTTTAGCCATCAAAGTCATATTATTCAACTTGATTTGACACCTGGTTTCTATTATGATCAGCACAAAGACCTAATTGATTAACAGAAAACAGGTTCAACTGTATATTAATTAATACCTACTAGAACATAACCAGAAAAGAGGCTGTGCTTGTCAAGATAATAATCTCTTGCTTTTTTTCAAGAAGGTACAAAGAACCATTAAAAAGCTGGTTTAACCTGTGTGAAACCTGGGTCAAAATCAGACTTGACAGATTTCAGGGACAGCACAAAAGGCTGAGCACAAGGCACGTGTCCCATCAGTGGCAGGCAGACAAGGCCAATCTTCACAAAATAAGTGCTCTGAAGAGAATGCCCACCTTGGTTTAAAAATTCTGTCTACGCAAGAGTAGATAAACATCCCTGGTAAGCATGTCTACTGGACAGGAGTCCCAAAAATCAGCAAACAAAATTTGGTCCTTACATCTTTTTTGTGTGACCAGAGCATGTGAAATTGCCACTTCAGAAGAAACAGAAGGGATTTACAAGGACAGGTTCTTAATCTTGCATTTTTTTTAACATCCCTCATAATAGAACAGTTTATTTCTGAGCAAATTTGCTTTTGAAATCCTGTTTTAAAGACCCAAAGCTATTCTGAATGGGAGACAACAAAAGCCTCACCTCTGTGAGGGCAGGAACACAGACTCAGCCATCTGACTTCTTTTTGGATCAGTGCCTGACCTCAAATTTACTCCTGCTTCTCAGTTTGGATCACGTTGAAAAAAAGGGCCAGAACCAAAAACAACAAAAACTAAAACCAAACAAACACAAAACAAAAGCCCAAACCAAATAAACAACAAAACCAACACACACACACACACACACACCCCAAAGAAATCCACACAAAAGCCTAGTAATTCTAGAAGCAGCAGCAGCAGGTGTTGAAAACTAAATTATTACTTGCCTCTCTGGTCTATAATAGCCCACGAAGAGAGGAGTTGTTCTTAAATACATTTTGAAGCAACACTGCAAGAGCCCATACTTAAACATCTTCTGCAAAGTTCCCCTTTTACAGGAAGCAATTTCCTAACATGGGGAAAGCCCAGATGCTTCAATGATCACACAAGTTATGGCAACAAGAGTTTTTACCTCCTCTTGCAGTCACCTGTACCAGTAAGATCAAAAGTTCAGGGGAAAGGTTACAAGTTGCCCTTTAATTCTCAGAGTTGAAAGATGAAAGATTCAAATTACAAAATGACAAGGTTGCCATTCCAGAAAAAATTAAGGTACAGCTTGCCCTGTTCCCTTGTGAGCCAGTACCACAGCAGTACAACTGTTCAAGGTATTACTTTAAAAAAAAAAACCAAACCTGTTTTTGGCACTCCTCTCCCCACCCTTGGAAACATCTAAGCCAACACTCATACAGATCTCTGCATTGAGACTTCCACACTCAAACTGGAGCAAAAGCAGGAGACAGAAGTGATAAAAGTTACTGTGTTATGAACTTTTCTATGAACAATAAATAAAGGTTGACATGGATTTAACAGAAAATAAATTAAATATGGCATTAATCCAGTTTACGTTCTCAGATGTTTTGCAAAACAAAATCACGTAATACAAAGACGAATACATCTTATCAAATTTATCAACTCCCTCACATTCCCAGCCTGATATCTGAAGATGTCAGTAACATACTGTACTCCTCCTCGACAACCTCAGCACTAGCAGGCCTTTTGGATACCAGGAGTCATATTCTTTCAAGACACACCGGCTCCTGCAGCCTCCACTGCTCCACTTCCAGTGATGGGAGAGATCTGCCCAGACACCCACGACCTAAACACACTCCTCCCTTACCCGTGTGCAGAGAGGGGGGACGGGCTGTCTGCTGGAGCATAAACTCCTGGCACCTTGAGTGGCTTTTGTCCACATCAGCCAGTTTCTTTCAAACCCTCCTTCTCCTTCCTTCCTGTCTGTTGAGAAGCTCAGCATCTCAGAGCTCTGGGACCAGGTGTCCATTCAGGGTCGCCATCCAGCAGCAATCCTCATTCCCACTCCGAAGGTTGGACAGCAATGAGTCAGACAAGCTGCAGGGATACTCTTTTGTCATCCTCTTCCTGCCAGCAGGTCTGCACAGGTCCTAGTTCACTCTCTACCAGGAGCAGCAGGTAATTAAACAGCTGATCCCTACACAATGGACAAGTTTTATGGCCTTGTCAAAATACCACGAGTTTTTTAGTTTCTAAATGACAAATGGAAAAATCAGTATCTGTCAACACTCTCCAAAGCCATGGATACGAAATATTACCACTATTTCCCTTACTTGGAAGCAATTTCAATAAAAAATTCTTAGCCTGCAGATTATCTCCTGACTCATGTGCCAGGGACTGCTCTTAAGACCCTTGCTTAAGAAGAAATAATTTTTTTTAAATAAAAACTTTTCTATTTTAAGATGTACAAGGGGGATATATTTTTTCAAGCATCAAAAATATTTTTATGGACATTTTCTAGTGAACAAAAAGTTTTTCCATAGGTTTAAAATAAAACTGAATTGTTCTGCTGTGGAAAGAAAATGTATTGTAAGGCTTATACTCTCTGAAAAATATTGCTTATATTCAAAGCAAACCACAAAAATTAAAGCTAAAACTAGCAAAGGAAAATTTTGCATATATTTAAATATATATACATCTACACACACAATCAGACTACTACCACTATCCTCAGAAATTAGCCTCCAGTAATAAAATAACAACATCTTAGAAAATAAAATGCAATTCGAGAAGCAAAGGAACAATGTTCAGAAAAAAAAATACGCTGTTCACAGGTGCCTCTTTCTATATCACCATCCAACTCTTGTTGGGACTTGAACTTTAAGGCATAGGCAAGATACATGATGAAACCTGAAAGAGGAAAATAAATCTATCAGCTTCCCTCTTAACAACTTGAAGCCAGATGCCAAGACAAGTCAATGAATATTAATTTAAGAGACTCTGCCTCAGATGTTCCTCAGCCTCTGCACACTGAGCCTTGCCTGTTCCAGATAAGGGACATGCACTTGGATTAGGTGCTGTCCCAGAGATTGTGCTGTGCTGTAATAGCAGGAAGTGGGCAAAAGGCAATTCCAGAACAAAAACATAGGAAAACAATGTCAAAGACTTATTTATAGCAGCTATGATAACACTACTGTCACTATCTTACTGAGGAAACAGCCTTGGAGAAACATCCTTGCTAGTTTTGAGGAGACATCTCAAATACAGAATACTTCATCTTCTCTGACTAAGTACAGCTTATTCAACACTAGAGTCCCCAGAAATAAGCAGGCACCCCAAAATTCTCTTATTATCTCCACAAAGAAATACATTTTTATGCTTCCATTAAAAACAGTAACTTTGATTATCTGAAGCATTATCAGTTCATCTGCCGTAGAGTAGATTCTTACACCACATAATGGTAGAGAAAAGTCTAGCAGTGGTAAGCCATTAGCTCAACAGCTGAAAAGTGGGTTATATTTAAGTGTTTTTTATTCATGGCTATTTAATTCTGGGAGTTCTGCAATTGCCCTTAAATGGACAAAAATAAAGCAGGGGGTAAAGAATCTAGTATAGCACAGCACTCTGAAAACCTACAGAGAACAGCACTGCAGGATCATTTGAACAGAAAAAATGAGAAGGTTCAAAAAAAGTATTGAATTCACAACAGCTCACGGGCTCAAACCAGCCTGTAACTTGTATCTAACAATCTTGTTAAAATTGATTCCCTACAGAAAGCCCATTTTCTCCTCCCTTTTTTCCCCCCCTCCCCTTGTGTTATAAAGTGTAGATACACTTTGATCCCCAGGCTAAAAATATTTTTTGCCTTTCCCTCCACTCCCTATTTGTATCTCTAGACAAGTAAGATGTTCACAGTAGTGGTTGTTAAAAAATAATGTATCATTCAACAGCTGTTCGCTTCACTACAGTTAAAGCAAAAATAACTAATATCTTCTGATGAAACATGTTCCCACAGCTCCTCACCTTCACTAAAATGCTTTGCATTGTTGAAATAATCTCTTGTTATACTTAGTTGATAAGAGAACTGCAGAAAAAAGGTTTACTGAACCCTAAGACCCTTCAATGAAGAAATCATTATTCCTTTTAATGAAAAAGAAGGCAATAGCATCACTAGAGTAATGTGCATCTGCACAAAGAAAAAACTGAGTGTTACACGCTGTCATTCTCTCAAACAAATGTCTTTATGCTCACAAAAGCCAAGCACAGATTATCAA